GGGTCGACGAAGCCTCTCCTTTAAAGGTCCAAAAATCGTCTCTCCCCGCCGTCGTCGCCTCGCCAGTTCTACTTAGAGCCGCCGATGGCGGCTTAACTACCGTAACCGTATCCAGGTCTAAATAGTCGGAGTTACGCTAAGTAGCCCTAACCAGATTAGTGAGTCGTTGCGTGCTCTATTTTTAACGGCGCATGCAGAGAGAGAGAGAGAGGCGACCCGAGTTTTACGCGCCGTGCGGAACGCGAGGTGCCGATGAACAGGAAAACGAAGACAGCCGAGAGACAACGTCGCGCTTTATCTTAATCCTCGTAAATGGAGCGTACCCCCTCGCGCGATCTCCTCTCGCCCGGCTTCCCCCGTCTGGCTCCGAACAGCCGTCGCACAATATTTCGCCACCCGATATCGCTCGCCGTCGTTCTCTTCTGGGAAGCAATTCTGGGAGGCGCGACACACGGACGCGAGAAAGAGAAAGAGAAAGAGGAAGAGAGAAGCAGAGCGATCTATTACGCATTTGTGATCTTAGAGGTGATCTTTGTGAGGTGGTCTCTCTGCGGTGGCGATCTTCGCGCGTAAGCCAAACATCATGCTGGCGAAATGCGAGACTTGGGCATCTCTCGGGACCGCGTCTCTTCTCGTCGTCGATTCTTTCGACGCGGCGCGAAGTCCAAATATTAGAAGCAAACATCCTTCCGTCCGGCGACGAATTTATTTACATGATGCTCGACCATTAAACGACCATCCACTTGTCTCGCGGCCGTGGACGAGCGAGGCTCGAGCGAGAGCCTAGAGAACGAAGGGCGGGAGACGGGGGAGGTAGGAATTTTATTTCCGCTCGCATTAATTTCAACGGCGCAGAAGACGCGGTCTCGTCGTAAGGCGCGGCTTGAAATTACGAATATTATGACTTCAACCAGTTCTCAGAATTCTATGTTTTTCATTCTTTAATCTCGGTCCTCTCGTGTTTCACACCATATCTTATGAACACACTCGCCTTCTCTCTAGCCCGTTCTCCTTATACTTCCTTCCACGGCTTCTCGATCCGAGAGCAAGGTAGAGTGTGCGAAAGAGAGTGCACAAGTAGTTTTACAGTAATCCAAATACAACAGAAAAGTACATATTAAAAAAAAGATACAACCTTGCATGAGAGAGAAGTCTGCGTTTTATCTTAGTCACTGCTGCTCTCGAGATGCTCCGATGTCGACTTTGCAAAAATTTTATTTCAAACCGACGATCAACAACAGAATTATATCTGTATTGACAAATTTCATTTTTTTTTTTTTTTTTTTTTTTTTTTTTTTTTAATAATGTAAAGCATTTTTAACGTAGACGTTTAATTGATTAAAAAAATAATTTAACAATAAATATTAGATAAGTAATTATGCATATGGCTATGACACAACACAATTCCAATACGAAGCTATCGTTTGAGCAATTTTTGTGGATCCAAGACTCGACGCATACATTTGAAAGACGAGCGATACATAAGTCGCGCCGGTTATTATTCGGCGACGAGTCGGTTTCCGGTCGTTCGTCCCAGCACGATAGGCGATTAATATACATTTTAAGCCGTCGGTGGCGAATTTGAATAATCTCCTGGTATTCCGCAGCAGGCACTCCAGGAGCCGCGGGGCTCCTCCAGCTCGTCGGGGTCTGGCAACGTTACGTTCGAGTGTTTGACGAACGAACGCGTTACGAAGTCGCCGACTTTTTTGTTTCCTCTTTCTGGCATCGGCATCAGCGTCGAGCTATGTCGAGTGGTAGCCCGCTCTCACGAAGACCAGCCGCTGTCTCGTACAGTTTCATTCCCGACTCGTCTCTCTCGTCTCTCTTATTCGATCGCGTCTCCGTCATGTAGGTTAATATTCGTAGCCGTGATCGATCTTAAAAGTTGCGTTCTCTCAAAACACGTGTAAGATAAATTTCCGGAAGTCTTAAATCGAAATTGCACGGTAACGAAACCGCGCAATATAATATTTTATTCAAATTTTTTAACTTTATCTTTATTTTTATAATTCTATTTTGATTGTCTATTTGTAAAAATACATGCATAACAGAGAAGTGCAGGACTCTGAGAGAAAAATACGAATTATGTCTAAACCGCATCCACATATTATGGGGACCGCAGAAATTACACGTGTCTTAATTACCTGTGAGAGATACCGACATTTTACAGTTCCTTTTTCCGCGAGTCGATCATTGGTTCAGAGATTCACGAGTACCGATGCGTGACGTGTTCTCATTAGCGAGCGATTTGTAAGCATTTTTGCAATTACACGAAACAAGACTTCTCAATGTAGGTATTATATCGATCCTCAAAGAGAACTCGTGAAACAATTTGTCGGGTGTTGTTTCTATAAATTGCGACGATTTGATAAATATGCCTTTTGCCACCGCAAACTCTCGCAACACTTGTTACTCCAGTTTGCAACCGCGCTCATCATGCAAAGAAGAAACAACAGAATGGTATTTTAATTTCCGGAAATAATGTATCACAGCCTTCAGTTTCTGTGTTTTTAATTTTGGACCCACAATATTTCAATTATATTTAAATTTAAGAATTTTAAAAATCCCTCAAGATCGCAGACGCTTCTGTCATTGAATACCCGAACAAGGGGTGAAATTTTACTTTATCAATCTTTTATCCCATTTACGACGAATTTTTCGTTGGTGTCTGTATTCGGACCAAGAAGGGGTGGCTACAAAGAGCGTGCTTCATTGACGCAAAATTCGATTCGCACTTCTCGCTCAGACGAGGAGAGGTCGTTAGATCCCTGACGAGGACATGCGTGCAAAGCAGGACCCTACGAACAGCGGAGATAAAGATTTTCGTTCACGGTCGATCTCTCGCGAGCACTGCGATTTGATGGTGCACAATATAAATGTGTGTGTGTGTGTGTGTGTGCAAAGTGTGCATATACACGAGAGGGTGATAATGTATTCAAGGTCCGCCCCGTGGTCCACGTGGTGGGGTGAAACGGGGCGGCCCGCGCGCTATAGGTACTGTAACAGATGTTAATTATCCCTTCTGTATAGCCGGCGAAAAAAGGAGCTCGCGCGCTCCTTCCTCGCGGCCGCTCGGACATATCGCGTCCGATCGTGTACTCCGTGCATCCCCGCTCGTCGTCTCGCGCGGGGATATATTCTCGCGGCTACGCCTAGCGCGCTCGCGCCAATCGGAGGGCGCGCTCGACTTCGACCGACCTTACTGGCGATTATTCGCGCAGATCTTTCCGCTTAAATCTGTAGATCCGAGTCGATGCCGAGGCACGAGTATAACAATGAGAACGAGAATACGTTTAGGCGGAATTTCATTGCCGATCATCCCCTACGATATCCTTCTCACCTCGCCTGGAATAAGTTCAGAGATAATGATTGCAGCGCGAAGAAAAAATCACAGAATACAATTACACGTAATTGATCTTTCGAATTGTGCAAAGATTGTGTAAAAAAAATGATGCGCATTTTTATTACAATCGAGACCTGTTAAATTCAAGCTTGAAGACTTAGATTTGACAAGAAGGAATATACATATCGAGAGACACAACGACTTCTCTATTGACATTGCAGACAGTGTCGACCGACACGGAAACCGCGAGGGTTGATCTTTCGAGGACCGGTTGGTCTGAATGGCGCGGTCGGTCGTGCGGGCAATACGCAACACAATTTGCGCTTGATCGAGGAGGCAGTAGAAAGCCCTCGTACGTCAACCGCGATCGGCGCGACAGGTTGGAATTACGGCGCGTGTCGCCGATTTGAGAATCCTTGAGATCGACTACTTGATTTAAATGTTCATTATTTACGATTCGGCTCTCATTAACCGTCGTGATTGATTCATCATCATCGGTACCACGTGATTCATCAAGCGATCGGGCAGGAGGGAATGGTAAACGCCATTCCCTTCGCGTAAAGTGACAACAATGAAGCGCGACGTTAATGAAAGAGACGGAACATGTGCGGTGAGCGAGAGGGTTATCATCCATCGGTCGCGACGCATTCCTGAAGGATACGGTCCGGGGGTCAAATCTCCCGCGTGCTAAGAAAGGCAAACGGCGATGACGATGACGATGAACGAACGAGCGGGCGGCAGAAGCGGTAAGAAGTCATTTTCCAACGGATTGAAATTCCATTCCGCCGTTTCTCATTGCGGGAGAACCGAACCCAAGAGTCGCGCGAGGCCATGAAATGACAGTTAGTGCGGGTATAACCCCGTCGAGATAAACCCTTTCGATTGGCCGGACGTTAATGCTTATCACGCCGCCTGCTCTCTCTCCTGTCGGTCCTTTTATTGTTCCTTTCTCATTTCGGATTTTTCCCCCCTTCGTCGGCGGCTTCACTTCTCTCTTTCTTTCTTTTCCTCTTCGTGTCTTCCCTCGTGTCGCGCGCGCCCGCTCTCTTTCTCCTTCCGCCGTTGCTGCCGCCGCGAGACGGCGTGTAATGGGCTTAAAGGTCTGCATTCCAATAACCGAGAAACGAATTGTCGTGCGCTCGCGCGTTATCGCGCCAGACCTGGTCGGACTAGCGGAGCACCAGGGCGCTCGTATATCACCGTAGCTTTTGTTACGGCGACGGGCCTTTGTTTTCGCCTCGTTTTCGCGATTCTCTTATATCGGTGCTGCTGGCTCGCCCTCCCACCCTTCTCGCAGCCTTAACGCAGACTGCAGACCCACAGACGTCGTCGGCGAGCGTGTGTTCTCGGGGAACAACGTCGCGGACTTTATTCGAATAGAATAGGTTCGATCATATTGCGAATTGGATATCCCGAGTGAACGAATCGAGAGATTGACTCTTACGGCTGTTATGTGACTACTCCTTTTCATTTGACGTTTCGCGCGCATATTCCTGATTGAATTCCGGTGACCCGTGCATCGTCGTGGAAGACAGTCGATCGCTCCCCTTGAAAGTAGTGTAATTCTACGTGTCAGCGGAACACGTGGGCAGCGCGAATTGACAGATCGACCGTTCGATTTGACGTCTGAACTAACGTTCGCGTTTTGTTTCAGGATGCGGTGAACAGCCGGCTTTCGCGAGGTTCGAGATGTCCGCCGTAACCAGCCCGTATGGCCCCGGTAAGACGGTCTTTAATTTCAATCGTCAAATATTAGAGATTTATTTCGCACAAGGTATAATATATCATTTTAACGCGAGTTAACTTTGTCAATAAATTTTTACAAACATTATAATAATATTCATAATAATATTAATAAATAATTGTAATTTCTAATAATAATATAATTATAATTATAATAACGCAGTGTAGAAGATACGAATATCTCTGACTTATTTATGGAATGTTGAATCGGGAAGGGACCTATAAGTATGCATAGGTTATATTGTTGTCGAGGGGGGGGCGGCGAGTCTCCGCAATTGCGCGAAGAATTCGTCCTACGCGGTTCATTTTAAGTGAAAGTAAAGTCGCGCGAGAACGCGAATCGCGCGCGGCGTTAATTTTGCAAAACTATATGGCGTATATAAGCCATGGCCGTATATCGTCGTTCGGAGAACATGCGCTTAGCATTCGAGTTCGCGGGATTATAATTGACGCTAAAATTTAATATCTATTAACTGCGATATGAGAAACGGGCAACGCGCCTTGAAACACCGCGGTCTATTCGTTGCATGGAATTAGTGACTATTGTCGTCTCACCTTCGCGATGCGAATACCGAGGCATTGCACGTCCGAATCGTTTTTATTCTCATCCGGCATTCCTGACTCGCTCGAGAGATCGAAGGTCCGGGATGGCCATAAAAAAAAAATGCAGCAACTCCTCACCGCGAGATAACTCGAGTCTCGCGCGCGTGTCATCAATAATATATGTATATCGATCGAGAAACGAAACGATAAGACTATAGCGCGTAATCGATCGAATAAATTTCATCTCTTTATCAGCGGAGATGCTTTCCGATTCGGTCTACAACTACGCGACGACCCGACGGGGCGCCGCCGATCAGGACAGCGACTCCCAGTACGAGACGCAGGCCCAGTTGCAGATCACCAGCAGCATCCAGAGCAAACCGCGAAACAAACGGAAGAACTTCAAGCCCATAAGCAGCCGGATGGCGGAAGTGTCCGACGAGTCCGAGAGAGACGACGACGAGCCGGAAGTGATCGAAGAGAGTTCGAGCGAAATCCTCGAGTACGAGAGGAAGACGATGTTGTTGCCGGCGGACGATAGATCGAAGCAGAGGCTAAACAATAACGAGGTCAGCCCGATGGATCTCTCGGTCACCACGAGACCGCCGTCCTCCGAGGCCGATGACGATAGCGGGGACTCTCTCAGGCATAAGTTCATCCTCGAGCAGCTGAGATCGCGGAAGCTATATTCGCCCGGTACAGAGGTAAGCCCTTGTTTTTAATTTTTCATTAAAATGTATTATACATCTTGAACGCGATATTTCATTCGATTGCTAAATGTGTAACTTCTCGATGTGCAGGCGAGGAGTCCAAATTCTGATTCGTCGGAAAGAAGCGGGAGCGGCGTTCTGGACGCAGAGTCGTCTCGTCTGGACGACCAGGACACGCAGTTTGAAGATGAACGGGGCAACGACGCCGACGGCGAGGCCGAGATCGAAGAGCGGAAGCCCTTCGAGGGCATGAGGGAGTACGCGGAGTCGACGATGCAGGAACTTCTGGCGATCTACGGGCTGGCAGGAGGCGAACTGGCAAAGTCGGTCAGCAGGCAACTGCCGCCCACGTTCCTCAACCCGAGTACTGGTCAGCAGACTCAAGGTGAGTAGCTTCCAAATTCAGTGATTATATCGACTTTGTGATTTAGAATATAAAGGCGAAAATGCGATTGTTTCAAGAATTATTGAGACACTTAAAGTCGTCACTATATACGATTCCGAATAAGCCATCAAAGCCAATGTCGAACATTGGAACCGCCCGCAAAATCGTTAGACAAATTAGTATATACGCGGATTGGTTGGCATTAAACATGAGGTTGGCGTAAGATAGATCGTTGGCTGCGCGACTGGTTGACGTTTGCGATCGGACTTGGCCGGAGATCAATCCCGCCAGAATTATCGATCGACGAAACTTTGAAGCTACTGTTCGCGCTTTCGGATGGTTGCACATTGCCTGCCTCGTTTCGCAAAAAACGATGAATTAATGTCAGCGATAAAGACGAACGTCTATTATCTCGGCGATTCGTCGGGAAAATTGCTGAACGCGCGCGCTGGCAGTCGTTCGATGCAACGTGAATCAGAAGCCTTCGTTGAGCGGCAGCAGTTTACGTCAGCCGGCATCGAGATAAACGAATGCACTTTTCGCGATACGTTGTGCTGGCTGCGCGCGGATGAGGGGGCTCGTTCCGTCTCCGGTCAAAGCAGCAGAGCCGGCTGCTTTCAGCCGGGACTGTACGTGCACCAGAACAGAATGTGGCACTTACATATTGCCGGTGCATCGCATATGTGCGCACGTGAATATGTGATGGCTCGAGCAAGATGGCCGACTTATAACTCATAAAGTCGGTCGGACTGCGCGCGCTAAGCGCGACCGTCCGACTCGCGATCGATGGATGCCTTCGAGATCAGCCAGCGTCATCGTTTCCCGTTGCACGCGGCGATCAGCGTGGGTTGTCGCTCTCGAGAATTCCCCGCGGCCCAGAATTCTCAAGTCGCTTCAACTTACAAGCTCTTTCCCATCTTCAAACGCGATTTATTTACATAAATTGTCATAAACGGTTTTTCAAACGTACTTTGGAATTTTGATTAGAACACATGAAACGAATTGAAGGCTAATGCGCGCAGTCTGATCCATTCGAATTGAATAATTGTTTTTTTTTTTTTTTTTTTTTTTTTTTTTTCATAGTTTCGGCGACAGACATGGGTATCCATAGGCAATTTTTTTGTTTTTATCTTTTGATCTTAATTTTTTATATTACATACGCAAACAAATTCCAGTGTTTTCAAAGGGAGAGCAAATGCTTAATTTTTTTATTGATTCTCATTATCAGGCGACAGACGTGCGACTAAGTGATTTTTTTTAGACAAACTATATGATTATTTTTCGACAAATTATTTTGAATAATATGCAATGTATATAATTTTGTGGTATAATATTTCATTAAAGTATAACAAGGACCGATATGCGTCCCGAGTGTTCCGTCCTGTCATCCGCTTTGCCTCTCACCGCTTCGCGTCTCCCAACTGGTTGCCACCTACGTGCAGGTGACGAGAAACAAAAGCCGACTTGTTGCGGCACGACGTGATCGTCGCGATTGATACAAAAAAAAAATCACGCGTAATTTATCATGTAAAAGAGCTTGAAGCGGTACGCGTCTCGACAATGACACGTTAGTGACGACGACAAAAAAAAAAGAGAGGAAAGACGGTACTTCTTGGACGAGCGAACCTCGCCTCGACGAATAGATATCTTACATATTTGTCTCTTCCGCTGAGAATATATTATCGTTTCGCGTGATAATCTCGAAGAGAGCTATCTATATGCGAACCCCTCTTATTGGTACATCTAACATCTGGCAATGACATACGTGTCGTTATATCGATTCATCACTACTTTTTCTCGTAACCGGCTAAAAATTAATTTATGCTTGTGACCTATATATGTATACGCATAATATATATCCTCTGCTTTTAAATGTTTGTTATGAGCGACTGTCGGATCAATTCCCGATCCGACTCCGTCATACATTCCGTCCAACTTAATCGCTCCATTTCATGGCGCCGTGATATTAAAGCGATACACCGAAGGCAGAGAAAAGGTAATGTACTCTAAGTGTCGTACAATCGCCATACTGCACGAGGGGGAGGAAAGGGGGTGATAATCTAGCGCGACGAAAAGCAGAAAACTCGTCTATGCGCGCGGGTGGAACAGAGACCACTTTGGACGGAGAGGTCTGATGAGGGGTCCGAAGGGAAGATGAGAAGAAGAAGAAGAGAGAGAGAGAGAGAGATACCGCGGTGCCTCCGTGAACCCATTAATCATTCCGTCCGGATAAAAGGCAGTAAGGATGAAAAGAGAAGACGGACAGTCGGACGGACAGCGGGCAGATACACCAGCAGAAGGATAGAAAGGAGAGAAGAAAAAGGAGAGGCGATCTCTTTCCTCTTTCTTTCTTCCTCCCCCGACGCAGCTTCCCTCTTTCTCGCGAGAAGAGCGCAGGATCATTTTTTATTTTTGTCCTTTTCGAAATTCGTCGGCCGCGCCATTGTCAGGAGGCCCGCGGAGACTTTCGAGAGACAGGCCCTCCTCTCGTGGGCCCCCGGGCGTCGTCCCGTCGCACACGGGGCCAGATTCATTAACTGATAGCGCGCGATTCTCCCGGCTCGATTGCGTTTTTTAACGATATCCGTCCGCAGCATCGCGTCCGAAGAATGATCGTCGAATGCCACCCGTCGGGCGAGAAAATCCGCTCCGTCTTCGAAATCGGTTCAAGCCGACGATCGACGGGGGTACCTCTTCATCCCCCTCTCTTTCTCTTTCTTTCTCAATCTTTCTTTCTCAATCTTTCTTTCTCTTCATATATATATATATACATATATCGCGTAGTGACTAAGATTCTTGCTAACTGTTAACATCTATTTATTTCTTGCTCACTTCTGTCAATTCTACATTGTTGATTTACTGTATTAATTTATTATGCATTTACGTTTGATTTACACTTGAAAAGGGCTGCAATGACAGCCGAAACGTTGTATTTTAACTAATTATTTGTAATAAATGATTGCCAGTTTGGTCGACTTTTATAATACCATTGAGGAAAGATTTATATATATATATAGTTCAATTTAGCGAGGCCTTAAAAGTAATGGACATTACCTCCGATGATTACTTGAAGAGATACACACACACACACGTGTCGGGCCGAAAGGAGAGAAGAATGATTAGAACTCGAAACTTTCTTCATTTACTTGTTTTTTTAGATCTTCATCGTCACGCGCTGCAAACCTCGGTGACAGATACGCGTGTGTGTCTCTTTGAAAAGCCTTTGAAGAAAAAGTTTGTCGTTTCAAAAAGCGGACTACGTCGGAAGAAGGTATACACGAACCCTTCGTTAAGAAACGCCGAATTCAAAAAGCCAGCTAACTCGACCGCTATTCAACGAATCTGTCGTATTTGCTGGTCGGGTTTAATTCGAGAAGAGCTGGTAGCGAGAGGAAAGGAATCGGTCATATTAAGGAAGGGGAGAGAAGAGTTTGGATCAGTCTGGTTACGAGCTTTTATGTCTCCGTATCTCTAGTTTAGGCACGTATGAGTTAGGTCCCGAAAACGAATCGTTGCAAGATCGAAATCGGAGCTTCCTCCTTGAACGGGGACAAAGAACCCTCTCCATGGTTGATGAGAGACGTTAAAGATTTCAGGTATTCGGACCAGCCGCTGAATCGGGAATCGTAATGTCTTTCGATCAATTTTATGCGAATAGAAAAACTGAAGATAAGATGAAGAATAGTAGTACAGAAGAAAGAGCATTTAATAACTTTATTAAATGATTCATCGCGCAGCAATGCTTATTGCGATTCTTTGTTTATTCAAGATTTCACGAGAATACGTGAAATGTGTATCTCGCACTCGACCGAGAAAATATCTTTTGCCGCGTAGGAAGAAGAAGAGGAAGAAGAAGAAGAAGATGATGCGGAGAAAGACGGACGAATCTCTTGCGGAGACGTTGATCGGCGCTGGATTCCCTCGGTACGAAGAGATCGTGAAACGTTTTATGAAAGCTTTTATGAAAGGCTTTACGAGGCACGGACCGAACTGGGGCCCCGGGTTCGCTTCTGCTACACACGTGCTGCCACGACGATGAAGAGCCCCCTTGTCCCCCCGAAACCCCGCGGGGGCCCCTCGTCTTTCTTTCTCTTCATCTTTCCCTCTTCGCGAACGAGTCGCGTTTTCTCTATCGATCCTCGAAAGTGCCTCGTTTTTCATCATCATCATCATCATCATATCCGTCGTCGATACTTCGCTCGATCGCGTCCTTCTCGATTTTTTCTTTCTTTCTCTCCTCGTATTTCTTTGTGTGTGTTTTCATCCTCCTCCGACATATTTCATTGGACAGTGTTTTCCTCGATCGAAATTTTTTCGCGACAACAAGCTTAGATCGACGTTTCACGCGAGAGCGTCGGAATGCCGACGTTATTTGCATAAGAGAAAACGAACGATTCGATCGTTTTCTCGCTTGAATTTTCTCGTTTAATTCAATTTCCTTGAAGGCTCACGTTTTTTCTGCCATTATTCGCACGATCGTCGCGTTGATGTCCGCTTCCGGGTCAATTGGATCTTCTCAGCTTTTTTGTTCTCCAATTAAGTTCTGAGTCAGAGAGAGGAATGGCGAAGTTCTATTGACGTTGGACACGGTACAGTCTTTGCAGTAGCATGCGTTTGCGACGATTATACGTAGATCTCAAATCTTGGTTTTTTCTCTTCTTTTTTTTTTTTTTTTTTTGTATCAACCATCGCGATTGAAATCATTGACGAGAGCTTGTCTGCGTCATGAGTCGATTATTTGCGAAGATTCAGAATTTTTCTCCGCGATTATAAATTGACGTATCAATGAACTTTAACACGGAGGCCTCGACAAGCAGAAAAGCATAGAACGGTAATCAAGTTAAGTCGCCGAGTATGAGCTATTATTATCCGCGAGAGTGAATGTTTTTGCGAAATCATCTCGGATTATGGTCGATTAAGAATGAAAGATTAATATGCTATTTTCCGTGTGTGATGAAATTCAAAGTCAATTTGAAGCAACTTGACGAGATGAAATTTTT